CGCAATTTTTACGCCGTAAGATTGATCTGTTAAATAAGAATAAAATTTAGTCATTTTTCTCAGTAAGATTTGTGAAGTTTCGATCACAGCTTGTACGAAAATCTAATGCATTCTTCAACTTCAATAAATCCGAAAACACGGAATGAAGAGTCGTAGCCACGAAAATAAAAATAAATATCTTACTGCAATTTATGAAATTACTAGTGTTGTAACGAATAGTATATTCGGCCTCAGACCGAATACCGAATATTCGGTCAGGAGCGTGGCCGAATAGCCGAATATTCGGCCAAACTATTCGGCTTGATTAACGCACGTACGAAAATTGGCGCGCAAACCGCATTATGGCAAGGATCCTGCTCCCTGTTGGCCCGCTGTCACTACGCTTCCCAAATCGCGTTAATTCTTGGCAGTTGTAGCGGACAGACAAGAGTGTCATGGAAGTATGTGATAAATGCAGTGGTGATATTCAGCGGGTTCGCACAGGTTCGGCCGAACCCGTTCTTAACATTTTCAAAGTTTTCCGAACCCGTTGTTAAACCCACGTAACATTTCTCAGGTTTTGTTTCTTTTAAAAAATATATTAAAATATACGTATTATACTCTAACACTACTAAACTAGAGCCTTATACCCCGTTCGCCTTGGTGCAACCTCCATCGACCGTTTCAATCTCGACTGAAACCAGGTTCAATCGCGATCGACTCAAGAGAGTTCTTGAAACTAGGTCCAGTCATACGAGAGGTTCCACAATCCCAACGCGCGCGAGAAAATACAAGATGGCTGCGGAACACGTGTCGGGCTATCGACAGCTAAATAAAAAAAATATTGTATTTCGAGAGACGATGAGATCTGTCTATTATTATAATAATACCTAATGATAAAATAAATGATTTAGAAAAGTTTTTTCTTGAGAAAAAGTCATAAGGACAGCAGGTTTAACTGCTTTTCCTATGACTTTTTCTGATTAAAAAAAAGCCATTTTTTATGTTTATAAAATATTTTGCATGAAAAATATTAAAATATGTACAAAATAAACCATTTTGAACACTTTTTTTTTTTACCAAATATAAAAATTTGGTAAATATTTGAACGATCTACCAAAATGAACGATCTACCAAATATCTACCAAATATAAAAATTTTAAACGGCGCGCCGTTTAAAAATTTTAATTGGCATAAATTTGTGCTTTTGTAATTCCGAGTAACATTTTGAATAAAATTCATTTGTTTCCATACAA